CCATGTTGATTTCCTGCACCCATCAACTTATTATTTACATTAGGTATTTCTTTTACCGCTATCTCTCCCTCAGCCCCCCATCCCCCAACAGGCCCCAGTATGTGCTGTTCCCCACCCTGTGTCCATGTGTTCTCACTGTTCAGCTCCCACCTGTGAGAGCTGTCCTTGTGATAGTTTGCTTAGAATGATGGTTTCCAGCCTCATCCATGTCCCTGCAAAGGATGTGAACTCATCCTTTTTCATGGCTGTGTAGAATTCCATGGTCTATATGTGCCACATTTTTTTAATGCAGTCTATGATTGATAGACATTCGAGTTGGTTCCATGTCTTTGCTATCATGAATAGTGCCACAGTAAACACATGTGTGCATGTGTCTTTGTAGTAGCATGATTTATAATCCTTTGTTTATACCCAGTAATGGGACCACTGGGTCAAATGCTATTTCTAGTTCTAGATCCTTGAGGAATCGCCACACTGTCTTCCACAATGGTTAAACTAATTTACACTCCCACCAACAGTGTAAAAGTGTTCATATTTCTCCACATCCTCTCCAGCATCTGTTGTTTCCTGATTTTTTAACGATTGCCATTCTAACTGGTGTGAGATGGTATCTCATTGTGGTTTTGATTTGCATTTCTCTGATGGCCAGTGATGATGAGCATTTTTTCATGTGTCTGTTGGCTGTATGAATGTCTTCTTTTGAGAAGTGTCTGTTCATATCCTTTGACCACTTTTTGGTGGGGTTGTTTGTTTTTTGTAAATTTGTTTAAGTTATTTGTAGATTCTGGATATTAGCCGTTTGGGTAGATTGCAAAGATTTTCTCCCATTCTGTAGGTTGCCTGTTCACTCTGATGATAGTTTATTTTGCTGTGCAGAAACTCTTTTGTTTAATTAGATCCCATTTGTCTATTTTGGCTTTTGTTGCTATTGCTTTTGGGGTTTTAGTCATGAAGTCTTTGCCCATGCCTATGTCCTGAATGGTATTTCCTAGGTTTTCTTTTAGGGTTTTTATGGTGTTAGGGCTTACATTTAAGTCTTTAATCCATCTTCAGTTAATTTTTGTATATGGTGTAAGGAAGATATATATATAATATATATAATATATAAAGTAATTCATAGTATTTTCTATACATGGATAGTACTAGAAAGCTTAAATATGAGAATTCAGGCCTTATTCAAAAATTAATGTTCTATTTTAATAAACTCTAGTTATTTAATTTTTAGTAATTTGCCTCTTATCACTCACTATGGAACATCAAAAGAAATTTGGTCAATTTAAAGTCCTGGAGATTAGATTATTATTATTTTAAATGCATTCAAACTGAAGAAAAAGAAGTCAAATTGTCCCTCTTTGCAGATGACATGATTTTATATCTACTAATTCTAATAAATGTTTACATTCAGTAACATGGCAGGATACTAAATCAACATACAAAAAATCAGTAGTGTTTCTATGCACCAATAATGAACTGGCTTTAAAAGAAATCAAGATGGCGATTCAATTTATAATATCAGAAGCTAAAAAATAAAATAAAATGCCTAAGAATAAATTTAACCAAATAGGTTAAAGACATCTGTAAGAAAAATGATAAAACATGGATGAAAGAAATTAAAGAGGATATAATAAATGAAAAAACATCCTCTGCTCATGGATCACAAGAAGTTATATCATTTAAATGACCATACTTCCTAAAGCAATCTACAAATTCAATGCAATCTCTATCAAAATACTGTCATTTTTCACAGAAAAAAAATCCTAAAAATTTATACATAACCAAAACAGAGACCAAATAACAAAAGCAATCAAACACAAAACAAAACTTGAGTCATCACACTATCTGACTTCAAAATATATTTTAAGTCTCTAGTAACCAAAACAGCATAGTATTGGTATAAAAATAGACCCAGATATCAATGAAACAGAATAAAGAGTCCAGAAATAAATCTAAATCCATGTATTTACAACCAAATGATTTTCAATAAAGGAGGTAAGATCATACCTTGAGGAAATGACATCCTCTTCAATAAATGGTTTTGGGAAAATTGGACATCCATATGCAGAAAAATAAAGTTGGACCCCTATCTTTCACCATACATAAAGATCAACTCAATTTGGATTAAAGACTTAAATATAAAACCCAAATATATAAAACTATTAGAAGAAAACATAAGGGAAACACTTTAGGACATTGGTCTAGGCAAAGATTTTATGACTAAGATCTTAAAAGCACAGGCAACAAAAATAAGGAAAAGACAAATGGGGCTATAATAAATTAAAAAGCTTCTTCACAGCAAAGAAAAAAATCAACAGAGTGAAGAGACAACCTACAGAATAGTAGAAAATACCTATAAACTTTTCGTACAACAAGGGACTAATATCTAGAATATGCAAGTAACTCGAACAATTCAACAGAAAAAAAAATCCCATTAAAAGTGGGTAAAGCCTGTAATCCCAGCACTTTGGGAGGCCGAGGCGGATGGATCACTTGAGGTCAGGAGTTCGAGACCAACGTGACCAACATGGCAAAACCCAATCTCTACTAAAAATGCAAAAATTAGCTGGGCGTAGTGGCAAGCACCTGTAATTCTAGCTACTTGGGTGGCTGAGACATGAGAATAGCATGAACCCAGGAGGCAGAGGTTGCAGTGAGCTGAGATCACACCATTGCACTCCAGCCTGGATGACAGAGCAAGACTCTGTCTCAAAAAAAAAAAAAGAAAAAAAAAAAAAAAAGAAGTGGGTAAAAGACATGAATAGACATTCCTCAAAAGAAGACATACAAATGGCCATATATGAATAAATTCTTCACATCACTAATCATCAGAGAAATGCAAATCAAAACCACAATGAGATATTATCTTAGTCCTGTGAGAGGCTATTATGTAAAAGACAAAATAAATAACGGATCCTGCTGAGGATGTGGAGAAAGGGGAACTCTTGTACATTGTCAGTGGGAATGTAAATTAGTATAGCTACTATGGAAAACAGTATGGAGATTTTTTAACAAACTAAAAGTAGAAGTAACATATGACTCAGCAATTCCACTACTGGGTATTTATCCAAAGGAAAAGAAATCAGTATATCAAAGGAATACCTGCATTCACATGTTTATCACAGCACTATTCACGACAGCCCAGATATGGAATCAATACAAATATCTATCAATGGATGAATGGATAAAGAAAATAAGGTATATATACACAATAGAATACTATTTGGTCACAACAAAAAATGAAATCATATTATTTGCATCAATATAGATGGAACTGGAGGTCATTTTGTTAAGTGAAATAAGCCAGGGACAGAAAAACAAACATCACATGTTCTCACTTATGAGACAGATAAAAACGTTGATTTCATGGAGGTAGAGAATAGGATGATAGAAACCAGAGGCTGGAAGGGTATGTGTGGGTGAGGGCAGAGGAAGGCAGGGAGGAATAAAAAGAGGTTGGTTAACAGGTACAAACATAGTGTTAGAAGGAATAAATTCTAATGTTCAAAAGCAGAGCTGGTTGACTATAGTTAACAATACATTGTATATTTCAAAATAGCCGGAAGAAAGGACTTGAAATGACCTCAGCACAAAGAAATGGTAAATCCTCAAGGTGATGGACATCCCAAACACTCTGACTTGATCTTTACACAGTCTCTGTATAGAGCAAAATATCATGTATGTATCCATATGTATCCCATTAACATGTACAAATATTGGTTTCAATAAAAATACTACTAGAAGGCCAGGTGTGGTGGCTCACGCCTGTAATCCCAGCACTTTGGGAGGCCAAGGCAGGCGGATCACCTAAGGTCCGGAGTTCAAGACCAGCCTCAACATGGAGAAACTCTGTCTCTGCTAAAAATACAAAATTAGCTGGGCATGGTGGTACATGCCTGTAATCCCAGCTACTCGGGAGGCTGAGGCAGGAGAATTGCTTGAACCTGGGAGACGGAGGTTGCGGTGAGCCGAGATCGCGCCATCGCACTCCAGCCTAGGCAACAAGAGCAAAACTCCGTCTCAAAAAAAAAAAAAAAAAAAAATGCTACTAGAAAAAATAATGTTTTATTGTATTTCTGAGTATTTTTACCAAGAAACTTGCTGTTGTATATATGTTCATTTACAACCTGTTTAAACTTACAGGAAATTGCGGGAATTGTGTTGTCATTGATAGAATATTTTTTATTGATCTATAGGCCCAAAGATTTTGAGTTCCCCCTTAATGCCACTGGAGGCACACTGTAAGGACCAAGGTATTCCATTAGCTGAGAAGGTAATGGCTATGTTAAGACATTCAATAAATGGAGGGGAATGGGAAGTAAGTTGTTTCAGAGATATGTTTTTTTAAGCATATGCTTTTTGTATATGCTTTTTTGACCTTGATGTATGGAAGTGCTTGAGATATCCAAAAACTAGAGGTAGGATATTATGACAGACTCAAAAACCTAAATGCAGCTTATTAGGCAGTGAAGCTGGAGAGACAGGTAAGTTTAGATCTGTATCTTTGTGGAGACTTGATTCTTCGTGTTGATTCTTTCAGACATCTATTCAACTCCAATCTGATTTGGCTTTACAGTAGAGGTCAACTATTTCCACAATAATTCTGTTTAACAAACCAATCAAAAACTCAGTGGCTTAAAACACAATTATTTATTCTCTCTCACACATCTGCAAGTTGACTGGAAACCAACTGCTCTGGACTGGTCTAGGCTCTAAGCTTCAAGTCAGGGCGAGGTTTCTTCCATGAGTTTTCCTTCTTTCGTGGACCAGTCAGCTACCTTGGTAGTTCCTCTCATGGCCATGTGAAAGTGCAAGTGGGTAAGTCCAATTACTGAAGCACATTTCAAGCCTCTGCATAAATAATATCTGTTAATGTCTCATTGCTTGGCCAAAGCAAGTCACATGGTGTGCTCTGAGTCAAGAATCAGGGAAGTGGCCGGGCGCAGTGACTCACCTGTAATCCCAGCGCTTTAGGAGGCCAAGGCGGGTGGATCAAGAGGTCAGGAGATCAAGACCATCCTGGCTAACATGGTGAAACCCCATCTCTACCAAAAATACAAAAAATTAGCCGGGCATTGTGGCAGGTGCCTGTAGTCCCAGCTACTCAGCAGGAGAATGGCGTGAACCTGGCAGGCGGAGGTTGCAGTGAGTCGAGATCATACCACTGCACTCCAGCCTGGGCGGCAGATCGAGACTCCGTCTCAAAAACAACAACAACAACAAAAAAGAATCGGAAATATACTCTGTCTATAGTAGGAGGAAATACAAGGTTATATGAGTTAAATGGTTAAAGGTATGGATGTAGAGGGAGGTAAGACATTTGGGCTAAAAATGTAATTTACCATACTTACTAAGGTGAGGTTTTGGTGATTCATTATTTTACACTGTCCGGGTAACCCAGATATCACCCATATTGTCTTCCTGTTAAGGGGACAACTTGGCCGTTGTTGACACTGACATTTCATCTGGTCCTTTTCCTCTTACGCTGCATGAGTTAATCCCCAAAAGAAAGAATAAGAACAGTAATCACTATTCATTTACTTAGGGAAAACATCTGGAGGATTGTTTTTGTTTTTCTTCAGTTTTCATCTGGATGTCTGGCATTGTGTCAAGGTTTTACTCTGAGAAGTTTTAAAAAGCGAGTCCAGTTAGTGTGTTACTTCCTCTCCACTTTATAATAATACCCTAGAGTCTCACTCAAATGCCACCCCTAGGATGCATGCTGGGAACCACGTTATAGAGGAAGGAGCAGGATAAATTCCTTCTGATGTTCATTCACAACAGTAAATCCCTCATAAACCTAAACCACTGGCCCACTTTAGAAATCATCCTGGGCCTTACTTTGTCACATTACAATGAGATTCTAATGTGCAGGAGACGCTGGGCATCCTTGGATTTCACTGTCACAGTTTCTGCTACTTGCTAATTACCCATGGGAGCACAGTGGATGATCACTTGTCATTTTTGTTGTGATACATATTTGAGTGCCCTTTGTTCCCATCTTGGTGCCACAGTTTTGTTCTCTGATTGTTGTTTTTTTTTCTTCTTAGGGAAAATTAACTTTACTAACAGTATTTCAAATTTGGAAAATTTCCAGGTATCTTAGGATATAACTCTTTTGATTCCTGGAAGTCTTTCTTGATCTTTTTTTTTTTTTTTTTTTTTTTTTTTTTTTTTAAAGCATGATTGTAAATTCAAGTTCAATGCTTCAAATAAAATAAAGCAAGGAAAAAAAAAACCACTTCAGGGCAGCTTTGGTATATATTTAATGAATAATAGATATGCATATGCTATCTTTGCTCCTGATCTGGTTTTTCTGCACGAGCAAAACACATACAAAATTAATATGTTAAAGGGCTAGACATGGCCTGTGGTATAATCAGGTATAGGGGGAACTGCAGCAGAAGGAGCAATGTATGAGAAACCAAGACCTGACAGGAAAGAGGCAGGCGTTGAAAAAACAACAACAACAAAAATGGGGGGACAGATCAAGTTAAACAAGAGGGAAAGTAAAATTAGGAGATCATGGAAATATCCTACACGTGACCACGAAGGTAAGCAATTAGCAAAACCATCAAGAAGTTTCAGGATGCCATATAAGAACTCAGCACCCAAGAATCTAGATTCAGTCATTGCAGGTCCATGTCAGTGGGTCACCTTCCACTACATTGTATGTCACTAAAAGGAAGGAACCATATTCTGCTCGTTATTTTTTTTTGGTTTTTTGGGTTTTTTTTTTTTTATCTCTGCTTTCTAGCACACTATTTGACTCGAAATAGGTACTTTATACATGCCTGATGAATGAGTAATGTGCATAAATGAACATATGAAAATCTGTCAATAAATAACAAGGCCCAGCCTTTCAGGATGGGGTTAAGAGCAGAAGTCTCTTATCTGCTGGGCAGTTTGGAGAAGGCCATGGAGATCAAAGCAGATTGACCTTCAGTGGAGAGTGATAGTAGACATGGGATCAAGAGAAGTGGCCAGGCACGGTGGCTCATGCCTGTAACCCCAGAACTTTGAGAGGCTGAGGCAGGCGGATCACGAGGTCAGGAAATCGAGACCATCCTGGCCAACATGGTGAAACCCCGTCTCTACTAAAAATACAAAAATTAGCTGGGTGTGGTGGTGCGTGTGTGTAGTCCCAGCTAATGAGGAGGCTGAGGCAGGAGAACAGCTTCAACCCGGGAGGCAGAGGTTGCAGTGAGCCGAGATTGCGCCACTGCACTCCAGTCTGAGTGACAGAGCGAGACTCCATCTCAAAAAAAAAAAAACCAGAAGTACTAGAGTCCAGGCATTAAAAATGATTTGCTTGCAGGTCTGAGGAACAACGTAAGAATGTAGCATGGCAAGAGATGTCACATTAGAATGGGGTTGTAAGGTGGCAGCAGGGCAAGGAGGACTTCTTACTGCATACCCTAAGAATTGAATTAAAGTTTCTTAATATCCCCAACCAAGTACACTTACCACCCCACAGCCAGAGGTAAGGGTCAAGTGACCTGCAATGATTGGAAAGAAAGGTCTATTTGGTTAGGAGACTTGTGAGATCACCTAACTATATATTCTTTTTGAAATATCAATACGTGTTGAAGAAAGTATAATTTTCTTAGAGTCAATTTGAATAATGCTAAAAACCCTAATCAACCCACGCTGTCTGATTTTGCTACGTGGTACATTGAAATGAGAGCAGTTCATCAAACAGGAATAAATAAAATATTCTGAATCCTTACTTAAAAACCTCAAAGGACACTGTAGAAAATCTACTTCATACCGTATTTTTACAACCCTCTTTTTCTACAAAAATAAAACTATTTTTCCATTTTTTCCATAAAAACGTGAATAAAGCATAAAAGTTTTAAAGTTGAGAAAAGGACAACAAAATAAATGTTTAAAAAAAAGGAAGAAAGAAAAATAAAATAGTAGAAATAAGTAAATTAGAAAACAGAAAGAAAAGGATAAAACTATTAATTGAGTCCACGATTTGATTTCTGGAGGGAAAAAACAGAGACACATCATGAGAGCAAAAACGAGAGGAACAGAGAGAAAGAGATAGAGGAATAGTGAGCAAAAGGTGGAGGGAAGAGAGAGAGAGAGAGAGAGCAAACGGTTGGCTAACCTAATTTAAAAAAAAAAGGTATGGTGTACAAAGAAAGAAAAAAACATGAATGTACAAAATTTTCTATTAGAATAGAGAAAATAGGCACAGATACTAAGAAACTTTACTTTGCTCCACTCTGTAGAAAAATATTTGAAACCTAAGTTCAAAGGAACAAATTGCCAAAATATATCCTGGTAAAAATATGAAGTTAAAATGAAAAAGTTGTCAGGAGAACATCGAAAACAAAAGTACTTAGTTCAGACATTTTTTACAGTTGAATCTATAAAATCTGTAAGAAATAAGAAATCTAATCTTACTTGAAAATGTTTCAGGCTGGACGCGGTGGCTCACACCCGTGTTTTTGTAAGAGCAAAGAAGCGCTAAATATCCAATAATAAGAGAAATAATAATAAGAGAGGGAGAGGTGGAGGGAGTTGAGGATAGAAGATGTCTATCTATATATAGAGAGAAACTCTATAGAAGATCTCTCTATGTAGATAGCTATCTCCTATATCTCTCTTTCTCTCTCTCTCTCTCTTTTCTCTTATTGGATATTTAGCACTTCGTTGCTCTTACAAAAATGCTGCAGTAAGCATTCTTGAGAAAAGAGTATTGAACTGCAAAGACAATGTATCCATATATCTGTAGTATAAATACTTAGATCTGAAAATATTGGTCAAGGGGTATGTAAATTTTTACTTTTCATAGAAATTGACAAATTATGCTAAACATAAACTTGCTGATTTATGCAGCCAGTAACAACGGGTAAGAATTTCTGTTTCTGCACATTCCTGGTGACACATTTTTATATATATAATATTTATTTATAAATATATACTTATATATCTATATAACTTTATATATAAATAGTATATAATAAGTTTTTATATATATAGAGAGAGTATCTTTCTATATAGGGAGATATCTCCTATCAATTTGGTTTCTCTGGAGAACATTGATATAGTATGTTATTGTACGTTTTAACAAAACTTGAACATGTCACAATTATGTAGTCACCATCTGTCTCTGGAAGGACATTCTGGAGTGTGATAATAGTGCTTGTGTAAATCTCTTAAAGTTTGGTTCCAGCAGGGCAGCATCAAGTGTAAGTGTGTAAGCAATGCAGACACCCAGGTCCCACCCACTCCAGACCTGTGGAATTGGAATCTGCATTATAATAAGCCTCAGCCTTTGAGAAGCACGAGCATGGGGAATGGGGCCTGGGAGATAAGGGTTCAGATGAAAGGTGGCAACTTCTTCAGCCTAGACCCTCATGCATTGGCTGAACTTTCCTCTCTTCCCGTTCTTCAGTCCCCTCCCTCCCTAACTTGCCAGGTTCAAGGGGCACAGCTACTCTCTAGTCCCTCTCCTTTCTTACTTTCAAACGATTTCTCACATGCTGCCTATCGTGACATTTTCTCTTAGCAATTTACTTTCCCCGTTTTAGAAGTAAATCATAGTAGTCCAAATTAACTTCTTCTCATTTCTGGGATTTCCCCACACCAAACCCTTGATGACCCCATCTCCATAACACTTAGGACCATGCGGACAGAGGGCTTGGGGTGCGTAGAGCAGACACTGCCTACTTGGCATTGCTCACTTTCCTCAGCAGTTGTCGGGTAGGGGTGAGTTATCCAGGAAGAGGGGTGGGATATTTTGAAAAATTTGTGTGCTCATATTGTGTTTTAGGTAGAAATTCTCTCTTTTTTTTTTTTTTTTTACAAGACAAGATTTTATTTAATGAAAGGATTTATCTCTTGAGGCTCACAGCAGATCTTGAAAATTTTTAACTTTGGAAGCTTTTAAAAATAGCATAAATGGTTGCAGAAGTCAGTGCAAGATAAATTGATCTTATTAGAGGATACATTACTCAATAGAGGCTCACCTGGTTTAGAGAAAAACTATAACCTAAACAGAAAGAGAGGAAAGAAATGCAGAAAAATGACCTTGGAAAAAATCTGCCACTGATAACACCTGAAAACTTTGCTTATTCACACTATTGTTAAGCTACGGCTCTTGTAATGTTTCCAAAGAATAAATAAGCCTAAAGTCTGCTGTAACTCAATATGACCTTAAAGACTGTCTTCTAACAACTCTTATGGCTATTCAAGCTACTCAGCATTCAAATGGATGCTTTAGGCCGCTATGTGACTTAGAAAAATGATCTTCATTTTGTAGGCAGCCCTTGCTGCTTCTGAGCTCTCACTTTGATGCTCAGACACACTCTGCCGTGTATCACCTTCTCTATCCAAATAACCACCCTCAACATCAAAGGCCTTCCTATCTCTACTTGCCGAAACATTTTCTAAGCGCTTTAGGCCTGTGGGCCAATCAAATTCCATCTGTCTAGCAGAGTCTAATGTCACAGACGTAACTCTGCAAAGCACTTCTTACTGCAGGCAGAGAAGGGCAGATGGGACTCTGCTAATGCCAATTTTAAATATTATTTGTCTGATTCTTTTCACTCCCACAACCACAGAAAGTCAGAGCCAAGTCACGACTTAGGTATAAAGTTGCCCCCGATAAATTTATGTTCATATTACTAGAAAAGAAGATTATTATAATGTTGTAGCTTATATAACTGCAGGGATCCTACTAGCTAGGTAACTAATAATAACTTCTAGTTGGACTAGAAATCATTGGTGTTTCAGAGTACTAATTCATGAATTATTCTAAAGCATGGGGGAACCCAGTATTTTGATATACTCCTATGGTATATGTGAAGTTCTCCAACTGTGCCTTATAAATTTTATTTTCATAGAAGTAAATCTGTTTTCGAGCTGTAATTTAGGTAGAATCTCCACATTTAGAATAGAAAAGTGGGATTTCTATTAAAGGAGATAAGTAAGCCCAAATGTTAAGACAGCCTGTGACCCAATGATATACTTTGAGGTAAAAATTATATAATCCTGGAGCTCCACAGAACATAATTTGCTACTCACTGGTCAAGATGAAACCCAAATTTAATTTTGTGTTCTCAGGTTCCCTGTGTTATTTTTAGCTCTCTTGCTAGATCCATATCCTCTTGAATCCATGAGTAATTAAAACTCCTAACAGTTGGAGTTTTTCTTGATTTGAGGGGACCCATATTTATAAACACCAAGCTTTTAATTTTGACCTCTTGGGTTAGATTGGGTTAAAATCTTTGTAAAGTAAAATATATGTTTCCTAATGCCCTTAAATGGTGTGTTAAATACATTTTAATCTTTTTGGCTTAAACTATAATATATGTTATTGTAGTTTAACATTTTGGAAACTGTAATATATGTTACAATACTAGATAATTAATACAATACAGTAGAAAAAGGATGAGGTGTAGAGTCCATGGCATGCAGCCCCCTTAACAGCTGTGTGATCTTAAGAAAATAACCTATCCTAGTCACTTTAAAAAAAATTCCTATCAGAATGATACCTAATTTGCAGAGATGACTATAAAAATTACTTAGAATAATGCCTTTCCCTTAGTCAGTATCAAATAACTTGGGGATGGGAGGCAGAGAGGGGAATTGATAAAGACTGCTGGTTGTCCACCCCAATCCATACTCCTCATTAGCGACTGAGTTTCCCTAGGGAGGATTTACCTTCACCACCTTTTCGGGCCATTCTTAAGTGGGGCTGTAAGGCAGCTACCAGCTATTTCTAGCTAGCACCTAGACAAAAACTGACCCTTTTCTGTTGCAGGCCCACATTTCTTTCCTCCCCTGTTAGTTGGGTGCTGTGAACCTCTATGACGCCAGAGGTGTGAGGTGAGAGGGAGGCAGTAATACAACACAGGGAAGTGGCATAAGAGAAGGATCACCTGCTCTTCAACTTACTTGTGTCCTCCAGATCTTTCAGGGTCCAATGTGCATAGGTGCCATTTCTACCAAACGACGGATTGCTGGGGGTCTGCCTAACCTTGTGACTTGGGAGATCTGATGGGATCATGTAGACTCAGGTTATATAGTTAATTGATATCCCATCATCAGAAGTCCAGTCTCTAATAGGCAAGGAGTTCCTTTGCCAACAATGAGCAGTTTTCTGTCACGCAAGGACCAGCCTTGCTCTAAATTGCTATTTGCTTCTGTCACAATTCTTTTATTGAGGCGGGCATCCCATCACCATGGAAACCTCTAATACCAATAGATGTGCTGAATCTTGTGAGCTGAGTGACAGGGCAATTGTACTGCGGCTAGAAGTCAAGTGACCTGATTGTTGAATCCCCATGCTGAGAGGCTGTGCTATAGGGTCATTTCTAGGTATCAACTGTCTTAGTACAGCTTTTCTGGAAAAACAGAGTCTGAAACAAGGGCTTGTACGCTAGGTATTCTCTTTTTTTTTTTTTGAGACATAAACATTGTACATATTTATGATGTCAAACATGATCTTTGGAAATATGTGTACATTGTGGAATGGCTAAATCAAGCTAATTAGCATATCTATTACCTCATGTACTTATCAATTTTATTTTGTGGTGAGAACATTGAAAATCTACTCTCTTAGCAATTTTTCAGTATACAAAACATTGTCATTAATTATAGTCATCGTGTTATACAACAGATCTCCTGAACTCATTCTTCATATCTGACTGAACTGTAGTGTCTACTGGACAATATCTTGCCAGTTGCCACCCACTCTCCAGTTTCTGGTAACCACCATTTACTCTCTGTTCTTAGCAGTTTCACTTTTTTAGATCCCACATGTAAGTGAGATCATACAGTATTTGTCTTTCTGTGCCTAGGTTATTTACTTCATTCAACATCTTCTAGGTTCATCCACGTTGTCACAAATGCAAGATTTCATTGTTTGAAGGCAGAATAGTGTTCCATTGTGATAGGTACGACATTTACTTTATCCATTTATCTGTTGATGGACACTTATGTTAATTCTATATTTTGCCTATTGTGAATAGTGCTGCAATAAACATGGGAGTGCAGATATCTCCTTGACACACTGATTTCACTTCCTTTGGATATACACCCAGTCGTGGAATTGCTGGATCACATGGTGGTTCTATTTGTAATTTTCTGAGGAAGCTTCATACTGCTTTCCATATGGCTGCACTAATTTACATTGCCACCAACATTGTAGAGAGTTCCTGTTTCTCCACATCTTTACCAACTCTTATCTCTTATCTCTTTGGTAGCAAGAGATAAGAGACCGGTAGCCATGCTAACAGGTGTGCGGTTATATCTAATGATTATAGTTTGCTTGCTTTCTGCTGACTAGAGAGAGTGAGCATTTTTCATATATATACCTGTTGGTGGCTTGCATGCCTTCTGAGAAATGTCTTTTCAGGTTATTTGCCATTTTTTAATTGAGTTATTTATTTTCTTGCTCTTAAGTTGGGTTCCTTATATATTTTTAGTATTAACCTGTTAACAGATGTATGACTTGCATTTTTTTTCCCATTCTGTAAGTTGTCTCTTCACTCTGTTGATTGTTTCTTTTGCTGTGCACAAGAGTTTTAGTGTGATGAAGGCTCATTTATATATTCTTGTTTGTGTTGCCTGTGATTTGGGGGTTATATCTAAAAAAAAAAAAAAAAAAAAAATTCCCAGGCCAAGTTCAAGAAGTTTTCCCCTTATGTTTTCTCTTATGTTTCAATCTTTAATCCGTTTTTAGTTGAATTTTGTATATGGGATAAGATGAGGGTCCAATTTCATTCTTTTGTATATGAAGGTCCAATTTTCCCAGCACCATTAATTAAAGAAACTGTTATTTTTCCCATTATATATTCTTGGGAACTTTGTTGAAAATCGGTTTCGTATAGATGCATGAATTTATTTCCGGGCGCTTTATTCTGTCCCATTGGTCTAGATGCCTGTTTTTGTGACAGTACCATGCTATTTTGATTACCATAGCTTTGTAGTAGATGTGAATTTTGGGAAGCAATCCTAGAAAACGAAGGTTGAAGTCTGAAAAGAATGAAACTGGGAAGTAGAGAAAGGCAGCCCACGGGTCATTCTCAAGCTACTCCCCACAGTGGGCAAGTAGGTATGATTTTGGCAAGGGGCCCTCTCAGGATGAACTTCAATATTGTTTAATATTTGAACTTCTGTCCAAGGAACAGAACAGGGAATGTTATATCCACTGGCTCCTGCCACATGGGTCAAGGGTGGCCTCCAGGTATGTTGTTAAATCCAGATTTGCTCACATATGAGAATGGCCAAGCAGGCTCCTTTTGGCATCCAATGTGGTAATAACACCAGAGAAGACTTGGAGTAGAAAGAGAGATCCATATAGTACAACCCAGGTAAGGAGCTTTCAGGTGATACCTGCCTGCAGCTAGTCACTACGCCTACTACTAGAGTAAAAAGGCAGGGCACGGCCGGGCGCGGTGGCTCACGCCTATAATTCCAGCACTTTGGCAGGCCGAGGCGGGCGGATCATGAGGTCAGGAGATCCAGACCATCCTGGCTAACATGGTGAAACCCTGTCTCTACTAAAAATACAAAACAAAAAAAAAATTAGCTGGGCGTGGTGGTGGGCACCCACAAGTCCCAGCTACTCGGGAGGCTGAGGCAGGAGAATGGCGTGAACCCAGGAGGTGGAGCTTGCAGTGAGCCGAGATCGCGTCACTGCACTCCAGCCTGGGCGACAGAGCGAGACTCCGTCTCAAAAAAAACAAAACAAAACAAAACAAAAAAACAGGCAGGATACAAGATGTGCCCCATGCAGGTATGCTATTTTCATTACTATTGCTTTTATAGTTTTTGTAACATTTTTGCTGTTAGATATCATTTCTCACCGCTATTCACATGCTTTCCTATGGCACTATTTCTAACTCCCCCTAAGGGTCTTTCTCTTCCACCATGCATTCTAAGGCAAATTAGTTAGGATTACACATAAATTAAGAGTAAATCAGCTCTGAGTGAAATCCTGAAATGATCCTTAAAAGCACGTGTTATGACTTTCGAGATGTCTATTTAGTCTACACAGTGTCCACTTATTTCCCCTTAATTTCCCACTTTCTTTTACATTCTGGTTGGGTGAAATAATCGGAGAGCCAAGTTATAAATTAACATGGACTATTGTTATGATCACATGATATAACTTCTTATTGTTTTTTACTGTTAGTTTTTAATGAGGTCAAAAAAGTAAAACCTTGTCTCTTATAGCATTTTGCTAAGCATTATAGCTTTATTTTGTTATTCAAGGATATACATTCATACAAATATATGAAATTAGTACCAAATTAGTACAAATTTGTACCAGTTGCCTTTGGTTTAGGTTCATCACATTAAAAAAATTAAGACTGTTAAACCACAAATAATAAGATGATATATTTTGAACAGAACTTCCAATATATGTTCCCAGTTTTAAAAAAAGGATATTTATTTTGAAAATAAAACACTTAAATAAAATATCTGCTTCCTCCAAAGTGTTTTTTTTAAAAAAACTAATAAGGACAAAAATAATAATGGAGAAAAAAAAACAAATTCAGCTTCAGATGGCTTTTATCTTTGATGCAGGCTCTAATAGTTCAAATTAAGCAGAGACTAAAATACAAATATTGATTTTGGTGCTGGCTACATTTCCAGGGTCTTTGAAATGTTTGGAAAACAGTCTGCACATTTCATTTCCTTTTTGTTTGGACAGCACATTGTTGCCAGTTATTTCTTTGATTTGAACATCTGGAATCGCTAAAACATACAGCTGGGCAGAGCTGCCAGTGACATTTTGTTTTCTTGACTAAGAATCAGAACTTTGACCTCATCCACGGGTAATTATCTGGGCAAATTTAATGATGAAATCCTGAGGAGAGGTGACAATGTGAAGGCCCAGGTACTGGTGACCATGGAATTTGGAACTGAGTTTGTTGCTGCACATCTCTGAGTTTTATGAGATGCTGTTGAAGACATCACACCGCCTTCATCAAGCCTCCTGGGTCTCATGTCTGCTCACACATAGGGTAAGTCATGGCTTTCCCTCTCTGATGCTGGTCAGGGTCTTATCCACACACGCAGTAGGAGAGAGAGGAGCGTAGCGCACACTCTTGCCAGCAATTCACCCCCAGTGCACATACAAGACACACGAATTGCCAACAGTGAAGTGCCATAAAGGAATCATCTTGTATCTGTGGAGAAAATAGCAAGAACAAAGATGGAGCCTCTCTAAGTCCAATGGACTAGAAGTAGTCCAAGAAAGCAAAGAGGAAAATAAAATGGCAGTAATTTTGTTTTAATCTCAAAGTCAAAGCTTCCATTAAAAATTTCATGTAAAGAAATACTTTAATGATAAATATAGGAGAGTAAATTACTCAGATGATCTTACCTTTTATGTCATTTAAGAAACACAGAAGCGTAATTTGGTACAAACACATTAGAAAACATTTTGGTAGAGCTTATGAAAGCTAAACATATGCATGGCCCAGGAATTCTACTCCTGGCAACACACCCCAGATGCATATACAATAATGCAGGTATTGTAACAGCCCCAAACTGTAAATAACGCAAACATACATCATCAGTAGAATGGGTCAATGAATTGAGGTATAGTTAAGAACAGAATATTCAAAGTAACATAAGGAACAGAACACCGTTACATACAACAAAATATATGAGTCTTGTTGATGTGTTGTTAAGTGAAAGAAGTCAGATACGAAACAGTACAATCTATGATTCCATTGATATGAAATTTGAAAGTAGGGTAAACTAATTTCTTGTGATTAGAGGTTAGATCAGTGGTGATCCTGTGGCCAACATACTGGTTGGTAAGAAACATAGGGGGCTTGTGAGGTGCTTGAAATGTTCTATATCTTGATCTTGGTATTGATTACACAGGAGTATACATGCATATGTTAACATTGTTCTTGCTGTACATGTATAATGTGTGTCCTTTATTGTAAGGCATGCTTCTATTTGAAATAAAAAAAAAAAACACAGTGAGCAGGGTGCAGTAGCTCACACCTGGAATCCCAACACTTTGGGAGGCCAAGGTGTGCAGATCGCCTGAGCCCAGCATGGAGACCAACCTGGACAACATAGTGAGCCCCTGTCTCTACAAAAGATACAAAAATTGGCCAGGCGTGGTGGCTCACGCCTGTAATCTCAGCACTTTGGGAGGCCG